GCAAGAAACGAAGATTCCTTTCTCCATCGCCGTGAAGGCTCCGATAGCGATGGTGTCGTGGTGGTATAGAGCGGAGGCGCTGCCAAGGGAGATAGAAAGAACATCAACTCCGTCAATGATCGCTTGGTCTATTCCGGCGAGTATGTCAGAGGCATAACAACCGTCGGTCCAACAGACCTTGTAAGCAGCGACGCGAGCATGTGGAGCCATGCCCCGCGCGGTACCGGTGGCGTAGCCGAGGAGTGTAGCGTTGGGGACGGCGGATCCTGCGGCGATGGTGGCGGTGTGGGTGCCGTGTCCATCTCGATCGCGAGGTGAGGAAATATCAATAGGTTTTCTAACGTAAGAGCCAGCATTAGCGGTGAGGTATCCCCTTGAGAAGCTTCGAGCTCCTATGAGTTTCTTATTGCAAAAGGAAGGGTTGAAATCTATGGAGGATTCACACTCGCCGTGCCAGCGCGTGGGGATTTCAGACATTAGTGAGTCATCAAAGCTTTGAGATTCTGGGCATACACCTGTGTCCAATACTCCAATAATGACGTCACGCAAATCTTGGGTCTCATCCATGAAGAAAGTGGAATGGGTTTGATTTTGAAGGCCAAGAAATTGAGGGGTACGAGTGGTGTGAAGAGTGTGGAGAGTGTCTTCATACAAGCCTAGTATAGAATCAGAACTACCAAGTGTTTGGGCTTGTTTAGGGTTAAGAGAAACAGCAAAGCCGTTGAAAACAGTGGTGTAGTCATAAAGCAATGAATAAGAAGAAGAGTTGTTAGAAGTGGAAACAGATTTGAGAGTAGCAGAATACCAGTGATGGTGTGTGGGGTAAATGGAAGGCTTATGATAGTGTTTCATGTGAACTATGTATGTTTTTCTGGTTGTTCCTGACACTGATGATATACATGATAACAATGAGAGTTGGAGTAGGATAAGGAAGGAGAAGGAAGTTGATGGGGTCATAGCTTTATTTGTTTTCCTTGACAAACACTACAATCACAAGCATATATAATAAGGGACATGTAGTACTACTTGTACCATTACTTCTATCTTAATTAATGCTTATATTGTATCATTTTTATCATTTTGATGAAGTGATGAGACGGTCATTATTCTTATTGGCTTTTTATTCAATTACTGCAACAAGTTGATTAATTTGTTTCAGCTTCTAATCTGACCCTTCACTGTTGACAGAACTCACAATCTATTATTTAAAAGTCCGGGCTTTTAAGTTTCAACTGTTCACACTTTTCTGCTTTCACTATATAACTCTTGCAAGAGAATGTACAAATAACACTAATCATTACATAACTACTCATTAATGAAACGAGAGGTATTGTCCATACCATGGTCAACTATTTTCACCAACTTCCTCACCTTAGTTTAGTTATTTTGATTTCTTCTATAATATGTGCATGATCACGGGAACTATATCATTGTCATTTATTTAGTTTTTGATATCAATTGGGGATATAGGATTAGATTTCAGACAAGATATATTTATGTCTTCATCGAATATCAAACTAATGGAGACATAAATTACTACACAGCTGCAAAGGTGTCATGGTATTTGGTCCACCAATCTTGGTCATCTTTTTTAGCGGGATTCTTTCAAAGAGGATAAACTTAATGTCACGTTCTGTTAATTCTATTTTCTCAAAATAGGTGATAATAAATCTAGATGTTAAAAAACATTGCTATTTTCAAAATACAACCTGTTTTGCACCACCTCTTTTCTTCTTTAACTGACTTTTTAGCAACTAAGGTTTATTTCTATTCTTACATAAATAAGATAGATGATAAGTACAAATTAATTACTATGATTATTATAGATATAAAGGACACAATAATAAAATATTATATAAATTTAACATATATTAATAACATCGATGAATGAATGGAATCAATGGATTAGATATTTAGAATTGAAGTTGAACGAAAAGGCAAGGTTCATTTTGTTTGTGTTGAAATATTATTTGAGGTTTCAATCCAAACTAAGAAATTTGTTTTCTCTGTATGGGTAAGAGGTAAGATTTACTTTGTTTGTTCTCATTCACTCACGGACTTGGCAACTTTGATAAAATCAGCAACTAGGACAGAAAACTAATAATAGAAAATATAGTTGCACACATTTTCACGTATATTGTCACATCACTGTATATGTGATATATGACTGAATCAGAATTTAAAGTAGTGTGTAACAATTCAGATGAAATTAGTTTTAGCTATTATTAGCAATATTTTAAAAGCTGCGCCTATCTGCCGGTTCAACCGGTGAACCGGACCCCTAACCGATACAGTACGTATGTTATACCGCATATACAATAAAATTGGTCAAAACCGGTAAACCGGTCGGTTTGTACATTAATTTTTTTTTTAAATTTCAAATTTTCAATTCTTCACCAATTCTTCAACTTCAATACTTGGGTCATTTATTTGTATTTTGCGTTTGTTAAGTGATAATTTTGGATTAATATATGTTTTGCACTTTAGACTTTGATTTTATTAAAGACTTAATGTTGTTTGTTTATGTGAATTTGTGAATTTGAAGTAAATTATAAATATGAATATCTACTTATTTGAATTTTTTTGTTATAGGTTTACATATATATATATAAGCAAGTATGTCCGGTTTAACTGGCATGCGGTTTAATTATTGAACCACTGTACCACTATACCAATACCCTAACCGGTTTGATAATCGATACGGTTTTAATAACATGATTATTAGACTTAGATATAAAAACTATGTTAACATATGAAATTATACATAAAATATAAATGTGTGGATAACATTACACTAACATAGAATGGGTGGAAGAATAAAACAGAACCAAGGATGACCAGAAATGTACATGCATGCTTTATTAATTTACTCCAATCACAAGTTTCCGTGTGGGACATCCAGCTCATAAGCTAAATAGTAGGAGTTAGAATTCTCACCGGGAATTACACCCAAAATAAAAGGAAAAAATATAATATGGTTTGACAATTTTATCTTTAAAATATTTTTGGATGACTTTTTACCCCTGTGTATAAGGGCAAAAGTAATCATTTGTTTTTCTATTATTGGATAGAATCTTTTCCCACACAGTAGATAATGTTGTGGATGGGACTTGAACCCTCAACTTTATTCACTTCATTTATTCTCTTTAATCATCGACCTACCTTAACTCATATTTTTTTTTTGAAAATTTGTTATGGGTGAGACTCAAACTTACAACCTCGTAAACCTTATTCCTTAAGTCTTTCACCTTAACCACCAGACCACCTTATGACTTCCTACAATATTACTATATCATCTATCATTTTTTCTATTATCATTGACCCTTAAATAATTAATGCAAATAAGTGTATGATGATTCACATACGGTATATAAATCTTTACACTATCAATGAATAAATTATGCATAGATAATTAAATAAAAATAAAAGAATAATTATAAACTATTATACTAATTTAATAAAAATCATCTATATTTATTATTCTATATCATTATCTTTATCACCAATAAGGAACATTCATATCCTTGACAAAGTAAACAAGTTATTAAAATATTTGAAGAAATATATATTTCTTATTGATGAGAAAATTAATAATTTGGTATATAAAATTTCTATTCATTCTAATTAAACCTCATCATCAACAAGGTTAACTCTAAATTATGGGAAGAGAAGAAAGCTTATATTGAGTTATTTTTTACCCTATAAAGACATATTGAAGACAAATTTCTTATAACCTATTCATGCAAATATGCATGGATCAAGATGTCTCTTGGCTTGCACAAATTAGATGCTTTGCACATGTGCCACCACAAAGTCTAATGAACTAAATAGTACGTGACAATGCATATGTTTGTATTTATTATATAGCTTAATTTATGGAGAAAATATTAAGTAGTATAAAAATAGATACGTTATTTCACTGTAATATTATTTTGTGCCCCTCGCAGAAAATTACAAAACTCATGCGCGCAGCTCTGTCTGCCATATATTCACGGGTTCAACTGAATAAATCGAGTGATGCATGGTCCATATACATGAATAGTGAAGAAGTTTATGGTAACTTCTCTTCATTATGTTTAAATAATGGTTAGATAAAAATTACTTTTATAATAATTTTCGATTATGCAACAAGCACATGGTGAGAATATATAATCTTATCCGTTAAAATGATTTTTTCCACATAGAGGAGTTGAGCCTGAAACATTGTTGAAAGATAATCAAATATGTCTCTTGAACCGATAATATTGTATTTTGATATAACAAATTGCACAACTTAAAACCTTTTTTATAATTAAATTTCCCCATAAACTTTTGGTTGAAACTAAAAATACTTCAAGAATATGTTTGAACCTCTCTACGGGAGACAATAAATTAGGATCATAATTGTCATATCTAGCCTTAAGTACATAGAAAGTGAGATCCACTTACACTAAGAGTAAGTTTAAATAATTTATTTTACATCTTAGTTATTAATTATAGGAAAATCCAATAGTTTGAATTAGTAAGTAAATCTAAACCATTAAATTTGTCTAGAATTGATGACTAATATGTAGAATAAGTTACTCATAGAGTAGGTGGATTCTCTACCGACCACAAAAAATAATTTTTTTTAATCCCAAATCACCTTTCACCATTGATCTAGGCATATAAGTCCCGCCTTGCTTATTCATTCTTTCATTTTTTTTTATAAGCATTGCAAAATCTAATAACCATTATGACTATCATTTTCATATTTAATCATAATGACTTTTAAATCAAAAGTTAAGAATGCAACTTAATGAAACAAAAATGGATGGCATGGGTACCTAGATATGAAAATAATTGTGTATCATATACTCTCAATGTAACGTTACTCAATTGCAATAACATATCTGGTGACAATAAAAAAAAATGTCATCAATTTATCACTATTTAATATTTCAAATCAAGCCATGCATTGCAAACTTGTGATAAAGAGTATTGAATGTTCATAAACATTATTATGTATGCAAGGAACACATTGTCGCTTTGGCCGAGTGGTTAAGGCGTGTGCCTGCTAAGTACATGGGGTTTCCCCGCGAGAGTTCGAATCTCTCAGGCGACGAAAACGTTTTTTCCTTTTTTATAGGTTATGCTCTAAATTTTGCTTTTATTTCTTCTAGCCAACTGACATGAATAATTTATTGCACGTGGAAGTTTCAACCATACAATCATGGATGAGAGGCCCTTCCACTCGGCACCGTCGGATCACTAAGACCAATTTTCGTCCCTACTCGACAGGTGAGTCTTGCAGTCAAGCTCCCTTATGCCCTTGCACTCGAGGGCCAATCTCCGTCAAGCCCGAGGAAACCTTTGCACGCCTCCGTTGCCTTTTGGGAGGCCTACGCCCCACACCACTCAAGTAAGCCTTTTAGCCCAATAATAGTTGAACAATATTCATTACTGACTTAGCCCACTGGGCCTATTATAAAAACAATACCATTTTATTTTTAGGTAGAAAAAAATCAGGATATTGTATAATATTTGAGATTTAGGAAGACCTTACACCACTAAACCTCCAAAAATAAGTTCTATCTAAAAATTCTATAATACCAATTTTTTCATCATCTTTTCCTTGTCCTTTCCTTTAATGTTTAAGAATAGAAACTCCACTTATATTGTCTATTGTGTAATTGATCCATCAACTTTCCAGAAACACTTCAATATTATATGCACGAAAGTGTAATTTTTATACCTTTGTGAGCATAACATGTGAGTGTTCCCAATAAATTTCTCAATCACTTCTACATTAAACCGTAGAACTTCTTTTCATATTTTATCTGTGAAATTAACTACTTGAAATTCAATTATCTGGGTTTTCTTTCTTCCTTCCTTCTTTTTTTCTTTCTAAATAATATAAAAGATTTTTTTTTACAGAACGATAATTATGGTGCTATAGTCTTATAGTTTTATTGTGGTCAAAATAAAATATAGAAAGAAAGAAGAAGAAAATAAACTCCTTCTAAAGACTTCTAGAGGGGAGGAACTGGCTATGAAACAAAAGAGATATATGAGGTTAAGGACTCAGCATTTATTTACTTTTTCAACAAAAATAAATTCAATCCAGCTAAATAAAATTGTGTTGTTTTGAAATTTCAGTACCACCTTTAAAGTTTGAACAACTTGCCTTCTTAATAATTTAAAAATACCATTAGTGCAAGTATATACTGTTAAGGCAACATATTTTGACAACTCTAATGTAATAATGTGGAAAATTTTCATAGATAGTACCGAACTGTTTGTCATATTCATGATTAACCGATAAAAAAATAATATTCTATGCAATATAATAAATTTTAAAACACGTAGAATTTGCATTTTCATTTCCATCACGATTGCTCATTTTCTTATGTTATTTTAATATATATTTTTCAGTCTCCCTCATTTGTTTTGGAAAATTTCAGCATTGGTGCGCTGTTTGGTTTTGAGTGGATGCTATGTGGGGCTCATTGCTATTATTACACATATTCTATATCTCAAGTCAATCATATTTTAGCAAGTAAGATAAATATGTTATTTTTTATTTTCTTTTTATTTATATGGCAATTTCTGATTGGTTGAGATATGGAACTGAGACAAGCTTGGGGATAGGAGGAGATATTGGTTAGGCCAAAAACTACAAAATAATCATTGACTGTGGCTATCCCGCTATCCTGCACTATGATCTGATAAATTATTATATAAAAATTGGCAATTGGATAATAATTATGTGTTGTTTGGTCAAATCATTTAGCTGTGCTTGTTATTGCTATAGATCTTATTTAATTTGTTCAACAAATCATGGTTGGTAATTGTCCATATACTCTTTTGATTCATCAATCATCATAGACCAAAATGTATACACAATTCAAAATAATTAGCTTCCTTTGGAAATTGAAAAATAAAAAAACAAAACAAAAAAATACTGAAGCATGTTTTCCATGCAACAAGGACCATTATTGCACTTAGCCTAGTACTAATGACTCTAAGCAATCTTCAGCAAATAAATCTATGTACATTATGAATTATTGAAGCTTGTTATATGATTATTGGTTATTGGGCTTCTTGTGGTGGTTGATTTGTAGATATGTGGAAGTCTATGGGTGGCTGTGTGAGTGGATGAAGGGATTTGGTTTTGTGTATGTTGAGAATGTAATGAAGATAAGTGGGAGATAAGGCTTGATAGGACAAAGAGGATGGAGAGCTCTGATACCATATTGGATTTATGGATCAAAGTCATTGGAGAAGAAGAATACTGAATAATGCTTGTGTATTGATTGAATTGAATTAAGAAGAATACAAGAAGGAAATATATAAAAGGAAAGGAAAAGAAAACAGAAAAACTAACTTAACTAACTCAAAGCTAACTAACAACTATAAAGGGAAATGGGCCAAGAACAAAAGCCCAATAACCAATAATCATATAACAAGCTTCAATAATAACATAAATAAGTGTACTAAACTTGGCTTCCTTGGCTTTCTGATGCAGTGGATGTATCAGATGAGGTTGATCCACTTGTACCATTTTGGTGTTTATCATTCTGTGACATTGAGTTTGTTGTCTTAGGAGTTCTAAGAGGATGCCTATGGCCGTGGTTGCGGTGGTGATTCCGGTGATGATGATGGTGATGACCACCATTTTCCTTCTTCCTTTCTTCCTTAGGTGTATCACTTTCTTTTGCATCTTTATGACTTTCACCATTATCACTTGGAACAGTGTAAACAAAAGGACCAATTGGTATATCATCAAAATCTTGAAGTGGCTCTAGAGTCTTAACCACTGTGGTCATTGTTGGCCTACTCCTAGGCCTATGGCTAAGGCATAAATAAGCCAATGCTGTTGCTTTTTTTGCCCCCATCTCAGAATACTGACCCTCAAGCCTTGGATCCATTATTCTGCTTAGTTTTCTGAAATCATTCAAGTATGGCCTAGCCCATTCCACTAGGTTCTGTTCTCTTTGTGGGCGCCCTTTATCCACTGACCTTCTACCTGTTAGTAGCTCCAATAGTACCACTCCAAAACTATACACATCACTCATTGCTGTCAAGTGACCTTTATCAACAGAAACAATTTACCATAATTCAGTTAGATAGTTACCACTGAATTGCATTTCATTCATATCTCATTTTATTGATAGAATCAATCAAGTAAAAAAGGGGCGACCCAGTGCAGAGTAGATATATGCAGCCTTACCATGTAAATGGAGAGATGCTCTACTATCTACGATCTGAGCAATATCCCCTTATTGATAGAATTAGTACACTAGTAAATTAATTAAGTACCTGTCATGATATATTCTGGGGCAGCATAGCCTTGGGTGCCCATAACTCTAGTTGAAACATGGGTATCATCTCCTTCAGGACCATCTTTTGCCAACCCTAAATCTGAAAGTTTTGCACCATAATCCTGAAGGAATAAATAACAAGGGTTAGTTAAAATAATTGATGAAGGATATTCAATTGAAACAGTAGAGAAGGATTGAGAATTAGAAAGACATAAACTGATACTTACTGAGTCTAACAATACATTTGAAGCTTTAAAATCTCTATAGATGACTGGTTTTTGTGCCTCATGTAAAAAGGCTAGACCTTTTGCAGCTCCAACAGCTATTTTCATTCTTGTTGACCATGGTAATGATGCTGAGTATCCTGCAATGATCCCAAAAGGACATTAGAACAAAAAAGACTAATTAATCTGTCAAAATTCTAAGCAAGGTAAAAGAATAAGATAGTGATAGATGTTAAAAGACAAAGAATCTTACTTCTAAAAAGTTGATTCTCTAAGCTCCCCCTTGGTAAATATTCATATACCAAAAGCCTGTGTTCCTCTTCACAGCAATATCCAATCAACTTCACAAGGTGCTGATGCCTTAGTTGACCCAGAAACACAACTTCAGTCTATAACCAAAACAAGGATCAAAACCCATAATTGTGAATAATTATAATTAAACTAATGCAACAAAGTGTTCATAAATAATTTACTCACCAACCACTCTTTATGACCCTGGGATCCATCTAAATCTAAGAGCTTTACAGCAACAGGTTGAGCCTTGAGACCAGGCCTAAGCTTATCATCAATGAACCCCTTATGCACTGGTCCAAAACCTCCTTCTCCTAAAAAGTTACTTGAAGAGAAGCCTTGTGTTATAATCTTGAGCTCAGCAAGTGAAAAAACATGCAGGTTAGACCCTGCTAGAGAAATGGATAGATCCTCTGAAAATGTTGTGCTTGGAAAACTCAAATCACTCACAGTGATTCTGCTTAAAGAACCACTAGGCTTTGTTGTATTTGGAGGTGAAGCCACCACTTTATTGGGTTTTGGTGATAGAAAATCATCATCATTCTTATAACAACTTGGGAAGATAGTTTTCCATGTGATTTTCATCACAGTCATTGTTGTATTGTGAGATATAACTGAGGAAGCTTGGGAATTAATCTTGTTCAGAGAATAAGAGAAATGAGGTGGTAGAATTGGAAATGGATTTAAGTATTTAAAGAAACTCCAAATCTTCAACTTTTTCTCTTGGCCTTGGATTGAATTTTTCACTACTTTCTTTTTTGATTACTTGTCTAGGTCTTATGCACCATGTGACTATTCTACTTAACTCTCTAATTAACTTCTTTAAAATTACTCTATATCTTAGTCATCAATTCTAGTAAAATCAAATGGTTTAGATTTATCCATTAATTCAAATCATTGGATTTTCCTAAAATTAATGGTTAAGATGTGGAGTAAGTTGATCTTCACCCATATATATATATATATATATATATAATTGTATATATATATATATATATATATATATGAGAAGTGGTTGTTGTTGGGCAAGGATGAGAAGACCAAAGATTTGAAGAGATTTAAATATTTGGTAAATGGAGAAACCGAGTAGCCTATAGTCTAAAGATGTTGTGGATGGAAAATGTAAATTTTGAAAAGTCATAAGTGGAATGAATATATTGGAATAGAGATATTACACTAATTGAAATAATTGGAAAATGTAACTTCGAACTAGAGAATCATTAATTATAATCTAATAGCACGAGGTAAAGTTTTAACCGAACAAACCTAGAAATAATTAGGTGACACAAGAATATAAAAAAATGCATGCTCCAACTATTTCGTCGAGCAAGCCAAAAGAGCAATTCGATCGACCAAAATGTTTTTACATCATCTCGTTTGTTACTTCGGCATGTGTTGGTATTAGGATTCAATTATTTAAGTGAGAAATTAAAGGGTGTGTTATTTGATAAAATATACTACAATTATAATTTACTAAATAAATTAAGTGTGGCTATATTCTTATTGACTTAAATTGGAGATGTTTTTCACTTGATTATATTTTAGACTGCTAATTCGCATTAC